TGTCCTTCTCTAAGACAAGATAAATTAATTCCCAGGACGACTCCTTTAAACTTGTTTTAACCCATCCATTGAAAGACTTCTAAAAATCCAGAAAACAAATTAAGGAGAAAGAGGCTTCAGAGAAAGGAGACAGATGAATAAGGATAGTCAATATGAAGAGAGGAGAAACAGATCAAGTATTTGTGGGCAAAGGCTGTCTGTCTAGGATAGCCTCTGATGGCATATATAGATCTATCTCCCAGAAGATCACGTAGTTATGTAAAGTGGGGGAAAAGGATCAGAGGATGAACAAATTTATACAGACTCAGATGTGACCAAGAGTTTTTTCTTATGGAAGTGACAGACATTTCTAAAGGATGAAAGAACTTTCTAAAAATGTTCCATCTATTTTGAAATATTCCAGCCATTCTGGTGTTAGTTTTAAGGAAATTAATTCTTTTTAAAAATATTTTAGATCCTTTTTTAAAATGTTTATTTCTTCTTGAGACACAGAGGGAGGGGAGGGGGAGAGAGAGAGAGAGCGAGCGAGCAGGGGAGGGGCAGAGAGAGAGGAGTCACAGAATCTGAAGCAGGCTCCAGTCTTGGAGCCATTAGCACAGAGCCCCATGCGGGGCTCAAACTCCAGAACTATGAGATCATGACCTGAGCTGAAGTTGGACATTTAACCCACTGAACCACCCAGGTGCCCCTAAGTAAATTAATTCTTAAGAAGAATCACCTGGATGGATTCCTTTTTTGCAGCTGCTTTTGAATCCTATTGTATTTTTTTTTTTTTTTTACAGCTCAAATTGTTAGCTCATAATATTTTGGAAGGCACGCTCCTGTGTGGAGCACTACCCAGGGGAAATGGGAAACTAAGTGTCTATAAAAAACCCTAACTGTTCCTGGTTCTATTACCCATGGTTCTCTGTTTATTCTTCTCTGCCATATCCACAGATGCCTCTGTTTTCCTGCACTATTTTTTCTCTTCCTGCTCCTTTTTCTTTTCCTCTTCTCATCTAGGACTTACATCTGCCCGTGGTCCCCAGTCATGTCCTGAGAGCCATTAGAATGACTCAGAGCTACTCAAGGCCCTCACTGTTGACAGTAGGGGGACAGATAATTCCTTGCTGTGTGAACGGCTGTCCTGTGCATTGTAACGTGTTTAGCAGTATCCCTGGCCTTTACTCAACAGATTCCAGCAGCATCACCTCTCCTAAATGTGACACACAAAAATGTCCAAACTTCCAAATGTCCCATAGAAAGGAGCAAAATCTCCCCCTTGTTGAGAATCGCTGGGACAGTTGCGTCCGCTTCTGCTCCTTAGCTTAATGACTTGGGGTTAAAATGGGATATGTGAAGACCAGGGCAGCAGCAGAGAAGGAATTATCTCATAGTCAGGTGGCCTCAAGAGGCATTTCTATCAACTAGGTAGGCAGAGTTCAATTTCTCTCTGACTTCTCCTTTATCTGTGAAGCTCAGGAATATCCTGAATCTGCCAGCACTGTGCATTTTGCTTGTCTAACTTATGAGTTACAGGTTACAAGAGATGCCATTAAGATGGAGGGGCTTTGTATTTGGGCCTCAGAGACAGTGCAGGCAGGGATTTTCAGCAGGCTATAAATATCCAGCACATTCTTGGATAACCCATAATGCCTTGTTAGGTTAATACAAGGTGTCATTTTTGAGCCTTCGTGCTTTGTTGGCAATTCGCTCTGAATTTAGTAAAAGAAGAAACCAAAGCAATGACATGCTTAAGTGGCTAGGAACTGCCATATGCCTCGCTAATAAGGTGACTTGGGCACTCATACACCTTTCTAAATGCTGTGCTTTCTCTGGAGTTTTTCCTAGCCTTAGAAAACAGCTAAAATGCCAACTGCCCATTAGTGAGCTGATAGGAATTTCTGAAGTTGTTTTTTTTATTTAACTTACTTGTATTTATTCATTCTGTCACAGTTAATTCTCCAAGTTTATTTAGTGCCATCTCATCCACCAAAAAGTCCATTTCAAAGCATTTAAGACATTCTGACAGGTCTCTCTCTCTTACCTCACCCCCCACACCCCTACACCAAGACAGACTACAGAGTCTGACATGATCAGTTTCTGCATTAGGAAACAAAGATTTAGGGGCGCCCGGGTAGCTTAGTTGGTTAGGCATCCAACCCTTGGTTTCGGCTCAGGTCATGATCTCACGGTTTCATGAGTTCAAGCCCTGCGTTGGGCTCTGGGCTGGCAGCAGCACGGAGCCTGCTTGGGATTCTGTGTCTCCCTCCACTCTCTGCCCCTCTCCTGCTCACACTGTCCCTGTCTCTTTCAAAATAAACTTAAAAAAAAAATCTTAAAAAATACTACCTGCCAGTTTAATCATTTCCTGCCAGTTGGTTTGGTCACTTTCTTCTTAACACTAATAGCACCTCAGGGTGCCTGGGTGGCTCAGTTGGTTAAGCATCATAGCGTGCCTCGATTTTGGCTCTGGTTGTGATCTCATGGTCACGGGATTGAGCCCTACAAAAGGCTCTGAGCTGATAGCATGGATCCTGCTTGGGAGTCTCGCTCTCTGCCCTTCCCCCACTTGCACCCTCTCTCTCCCGCAAAATAAATAAACATTAAAAAAAAAAAAGCTGGGGCGCCTGGGTGGCGCAGTCGGTTAAGCGTCCGACTTCAGCCAGGTCACGATCTCGCGGTCCGGGAGTTCGAGCCCCGTGTCAGGCTCTGGGCTGATGGCTCGGAGCCTGGAGCCTGTTTCCGATTCTGTGTCTCCCTCTCTCTCTGCGCCTCCCCCGTTCATGCTCTGTCTCTCTCTGTCCCAAAAATAAATAAAAAACGTTGAAAAAAAAAAAAAAAAAAGCTAACAGCACCTCTATCCTGTGGTTTTTCTACACATCCTCAGAGTATTTTAGAATCCAGTCTCCTTCATCTTAGCCTCTCAGGAGCAATGACACAATTCACCGTTTCCTCCTTCTCTAAGACACATTTCACTCCTGGCTTTCATGATACCACCTTCGACCCATTAGTACATGGTGTTATGACTTCAAGCCCTCCTCTTTATCTAAACTCTCCCTGGGTGATGTCCTCCAGCTTCATCATTTAAATACCATCCATTTCCTAACGATGTGCAAATTTCTATCTCCAGGCCTGAATTTTTCGAGCTTTAAAATGTGTACATCTAATTTCCTACACACCCAAACCTCTTGGATCTAATAGGCATGACAAAATCGGTGTGGCTAAAACAGAACTCTCTATTCACCACCCCTCTCACTCACTCCTCCTCCTCCTGACTGCCCAAGATCCCAAGCAAACATGTACATTCATCTTCCCCCAACTCCTTCCCTTAACCAGCTCTCCTTTGTTCCACTCAGGAAATTTCCTCACCACCCTCTCCCTACTCTCTGGCCATGTTAATTCAAACAGTCTCTCTCACTTAAGCTGCCTGTTCAGTGAGCAGATCTTGGGCTTAGACCCTAGATCTTTTTTCCACTCCTCCCTTAATACCCAAAGGCCCCTGATTTTTATAATTCCGCAAGGAGGGGTGGGGGCACGTAACACTCCAGACACTGAAGTTTGGCCACTGCATTGGCTAGCCTGTATGGTCAGTGCATAAAATCTTCTGAAGTGACATTGATAATACAACAGTTTTGACACCCAAGTTTGACTTGACTGCAAGCAAACAAAAACACAGCAAACTTTTGATATAGTCAATAAACACCACTAATTCTTCTGCATGTTTTTGTTACCAAATAATAAATGAAACAACCACCTCCTGATCCCTGCGCAAACACACACAAACGTGGTGTAGAGAAAACACAGTACAAAATATCTACCTGTCACAACTCTCACAGCAAAATAACTATATCGAATAAGCCAGAATAATAAATAGTATTGGTTTCATAAAACTAGTTAGAATAAATATCTGAAATGTCTAAATAAAAATGCAAAGATGCAAAACATCCATGAGAAAAGAGTACAAACTCTTTAAAAACACAGACAAACAGACTCGCAAAATCTTACGGGTAAGAGCAGAGATCAGCCCTCGCCTCTAAAAGTACTGAACTTTTAAAAATAAAATGAAACTGAAATAGTGGCTTTAGGTAAATATGCAAGTAGCTACCGGGAGGAATGTTGTGCTCTATCTAAAAAAATAAAGTGGAAATTTGCCCTTTCGAGGTTGATAAAAAGCAGTCTCGGAACTAGAGTTTTTTGTTGTTTTTTTTTTTCCTCGATGTAAACACACCCTAAGTGAAGTCCTATCCCTTTTATTGCAGCCAGATGGAAGAAAGGACTCTTGAATAGTGAGGTACTTTGTTTGAAACTTAAACCCACAAACAAACAAGAACACCAAGACTATTTCTGTCATTAAACATCAGGATAATCAGGCTGCCTGGACCCAGGGCATTATCCACTGGCAGGAGGAGAAGCTACCAACATGTTACAAGGTATAGTTTTTAAACATTGTTGTTTACACAAAAAGATATTCAGGTGCAAATTTCAGGTGCAGCATAAAAGAAACCAAAAACAAATGTGAGGTGCTAAACCAGGATTCACAGATTTAGACATCTGTAAACACCTGTCCCCACCCCATGGAGTTATAAAAAGGTCTAGGACAGGGTATTTGGAGGGAGTCTTGGCATGCTCTGACTCCCACACACCCTCCCGCAGGGAAGGGGACTGACCTCTCAGAGAAAAGGACTTTACCGGGACTGCTCAGAGCTTTGAGTTTGCCCCCCGTAGTCTGGGGAATACTGCGCACTGGGATCTGAACCGTGCCTGAGAAATCTAATTTCTAAGAGGATGGCTGGAGAGGCCTGTACAGCAGAGTAGGGGCAGGGAAGTGGGGAGGTAACAGCCCTCCCAGAGACTGTTGGGGCAAAGGATATCTGAGTGTTCTCCTGTGGACTTGATGTGGCTCACGAGAGACAGGCAGGCTGGGTTTCTTAGATCCTTAGGTCCAAAAGACCAGGATGCACCAGTCAGACTGCATTTTAGAACATCTGCTTGACGGTTGTGGGAAACAGAGAACTCACTTTCCTGGATGTGAAGAAGACACATGCAGCCCTGGTTGCTAATGGCAGCCATCTTGGACACGGAAACATCTAGTTCAGAGGTGAAATTGACGGAAAGAAGAGAACAGAGCAGAAAGACCAGCAGAAAAATGGAGCATGAAGCATGGCCAAACCGTACGTTAAATCCACCCTTGATCTGAACTTTTTTGCTGATGTGAACTAATAGACACTTTCCCCGTCAAACTAGTGTGAACTGAGTTTCTGATATTTGTCATTAAAAGCACTTCATTTTATAATCTTTTCTAAATGATCTGGGAGAAAGTTCACAATCCAAATTTGTGCTATACTAGGATTGTCCAAAACCAGGAGAATGTAAAAGAATCAGAATGTCCTCTTCACTTGATTCTTAGAGTAAACTCTATCCCTAGGGAAGACGTGGCCTCTAATCCAAATGAAGCACTGATTGAAAGATGGACCTTCTTTTTTGGGGGATAAGGGGGTAAAAAAAAAAGAAGGGGGTTCAATTATGTGTTACCTGGTAATGAACTCTCTGGGAGCCAGACGAAACTGACTGCAGGTCCTAATGGGAAAATGGGAAAAAAAAAAAAAATCCATACCTTAAAATGAGTTTTAACAAGTTGCCTCTACCACTCTATCAACTGAACGCCCAATTTAATATTATTAAACTCAGCTAGAAAGTATCTAACTCTTCCAAATTCATCAAGGTTAAACAAAGAAGATAATGCCCCAAATAACAAAAGCATACCAAGCTGGACTGAGAGAAGAAAGGCCATTTAGCTACTGAAATCTGTAAATTTTAAATGGTTTAGATGTGATAGAATGGTTGAGATGTTTAGTGATAGAATGCCAAGGATCGAGAAGACCAAAAGTAAAAAACAGCCCATTTTAATAAAAAAGAGGTCATATTTAATTTGCACCTGAACTTTTGGCTTATGAAGAAAGTCTCTAAAATCCCTCTAAGTACTTAGGAAGAATTTATTCATCTTAGACCTAATACAAACTGTCACAGTAATTGTGTTTAGACCGAGAAGTACTAGGCAAACATGGGTTTTCATAGTCGGTGAAGAGAAAATCGTTGGCCACCTCTGCATTATCACGAAGTGCAAATTAATAGGGTTGAAACTAATGAGGTTTTGCTGGCAGATTCTGAGAGTCTGAATCCCTTTATAAAGTTTTATAACTAAGTTGTCACCGTGGTCATGTCCTGAAGGTTTCCTTGTTAATGAGTGTAGTGATTCTATTTACAGATGTCGGCAATCCTGGGTTCCTTTGTCCCCATACCTGCTTCCCACGGGGCTTTACCAACTTACTCTCTGTGCCCAACTTAGTTTTAAAATTTCTCTTTGAGTTCATTCATCATTTTTTTTAAATCCTACTTTTAGTTGAATATTAGTATTATAAGCATGCTAATAAGTTAGTTTTCAACAAAGTCAATACATCAGTCGTGTAGTTTGTTACTGTGAAATCTCAAATTACCTATGAGTTAAAAAAAAAAAAGGTTTGGTATCATTTATGATTTGCTTTTTTATTGCAGGTTTTTTGAGTGAGGTTGCACAATAACATAAAACCATTATTTTGAAAAATGAGACATTTTGTGTTCCAGGAATATTTATTGGGGCCTGAGTCACACACTACAAAGTCCACAAATTTTAACATGTTAAAGTTATCCTTGGTAAAAACAGCCGAATGAAACCACAAGGGTAAAATTTGTTGACTTTTCTTCTCTCACCCATATCAGTATTCAAAATCTGGTATCTACATCAAAATATATTGTGTTCACAATTCCATTTCTATCCTTAAAAATGGTGAAGAAAAAAAGTCATAATTTTTCACCGTACTTTATGCCTTCTGCCTGTATTTATTTCTATCAGGAGAAATAGAATCTAATGTTCAAAGCTAAGTGGCTACAATTTGAAGGGATTTTAAGTTCTATGTATCTTCTTTATTTGTGATATTTACTTATGTAGAATGTGTCGTCTAGAAGGGAGTTGTTCATCTTGTGGTATCTATCATAATTACCCAGTAGCTTTAAAAATAGCAATGTCTAGACCACATCCAGAAAATAAATGTTTTAATGTGCATCTTTCATCAAAAAAAAAAAAAAAACAATGAAAGAAGTGATTGTTTATGCTTTCGCCATTTGTAGAATAAAGACAGGGAATACTCCCCGTCAAAGTATTGCAAGAACAATCAGTGGCCACTGCAGGGATGGCTTTGGGTCCCTGGCTTTGCTGGTGCAATTCAAATTCATGAGAATGTGATTTATGAGGTCTCCTCCATTGCCTTCCTCTATGGTAAGCCAGATTGAGGGAAAGAATCGAGAATTCCTCTGTGTTCTGACACAAATTTCTCTGAGGTATAGAAGGTTTTTCTTTCCTGTAGAAGTTATATTTTTAAAAAATGTAGCCATCTCTGACAGAAGTCTGTGCTAGATACAAAACATTAAACCACCTAACTCTCTGTTTTCCTTCATTATTCATCAGGGCCCTTTGAAATTCAATATAGCTCAAAAAATACAGACACGCAGTGTGGCAAGAAGACAAGAAGTTCCAAGCTATAGTTATGGATCACACTAGAGCAACCTTCTTTTCCATTTCAACCACGGGAGGAGGGAAAATAGTGGGGGCTGGGGAGAGAGACGATCTGGTTGATGCTTAAAAGACCAGGACACCACGTTTCCATTTCCTTCTCAGATGCATCATTTCAGAAGCAAATATATACGGCTGGTAATTGCTTACAGAAATGGAAAACTGAGAGTAAACAATTGGCTAAAGAAACTCACCTCCTGTAGGCGATCTATGTACATACGGCAAGTCTCCAAGTCACAGTCTCCACGCACAACTAGAATACCCAGAGGGATAGCTAAGGGTGAAGGAAAGAGAAAAGTCTAAAATAACATATTTGATTTTTCTAGATTGGCAAAATGTGTTTCTTATGGTTAAAAAAAGTATCTCAGAAATGTAAGTAGTGTTTTGGACATTTCATTATCCAAAATTCTCCTTAAACCTTCCTTGTGACCCAGTCTCTTTATTTCTGCAGTTGTCTTTCCCTTCCTTGCACGATCTGTGCTGTCCCTGGCCACCCGGCCAGCCTTCCTTTTGTCTTGGTGGCCCAGGTATGGAGGGTAATGTCATGGAAACGGTGGATTGGCAGGACCAGGAGGGGGTTCACAGCCAGCTAATCATCAATGCCTGCATTTTCAATAGTCAATGTACCACCAGAGAGTAATTTAAAAATCATGATTCTGGACACTTACCCCCTTTCCCTCCTGAATGCATGGGGCTTAGTCCTTCTGTCAGTTTGCAATGGTTCCCTATTCAAGAGACTCCCTCCCGGAGGTGCTGCCACCTGCTGGCCACCACCAGAACTAAATAGGCATAAAATGTTTAAAAAACAAAAACAAAAAAAGCTCCTAGAAGGTTTACAGCTTAAAAATCCAACTGATCTTAAAGACGGCCAGTGTAAACATGATAACAACAGGGCTTCAGGAAACAGGAAAAGCTCTTATGTGCCTTCAACACCCTATATATTTAGGAGGTGGTAAATGTTATACAAGGACTTTGATGGATAGAACTTCCCCCCTCAGATATAACCGTAAGATTCCTGCAGTACTGAAAAACAGCCTCCTTCCCCAAACTTAAAAAAATGTATTGCCTATTTCTAATTTTAAAAGTATGGTGACACTATTAAATCTATAACATAACAAAAAAACACCCTTCAAAATTTTGAATTAACCAACTAGAGACTGGCAAGCACATGATATGCCAGTGGTGTTCACTGAAGATTTTCTAAAATCTTTCACTCACTGACTTTTTAAAGCCTCATCATCAATAAAGGTCTGAAAGCGCAAAACAGGAGGGCATTAAAAATTAACAATAGAGAAATAAAATACATTTAAAATGTATGGAAAAATCTTGAGGAACTCACAAAGTAGTAGAGAAGACATGCAGATACACAAAAAATAATAACTGTAATAGGGTATATAAAAGTATGAGCTTAGTCATTTGAAAACTACAGGACAGAGGGACTAATTCTTGCCTAAGAGTAGTTTTAGGCTTTCCATAAGATATGAAGCCCCGCTGGCTCTTTTAGTTAGAGAAGCGAGGGTAGTCGAGAGATAAAGAAATCACTTGTTTCTAGGTATTACCTCCTAGACTGGCAACCTGGAGGAACAGGGTGTGGTATGAACCTCTCTAGTGGAAACCACGTCCTGCATACGTAAGTCTTGAAAGCGTCCATCATCTTGTAGAATTATGTAGGCATATGACTCAGTATGAACTCTCTCATCAGGAATGCTCATTTGCCTTCACAACCATAATGTCTGGTAGAGCCACGGTAGACATTCAGAAAAAGTTTATGAAAAGAGGGAGAAGGGCTTAGAGCGTGTTCAAGCGTGAAAGAGAAAGTATGTCTTTCAGGGCTAAGTCAGCTTTCCAGGGGAGGCAAGGAAACAAAGGTTTGGAGCAGGAGAGGGAGCATGTACTGGACCCGGGGCTTGCCTTTACCTGTTCTTTCAGAAGCTAAGCAAGACAGTCAGTAGGCAAAAGCGTGAGGAGCCCTGTAAAGTGTCCCATGTTTGGAGGAAATAATAATCTGGAGAAATACCTTGTCTCTTTTCTTTGAATATAAACAGAAACATCAGAAAAGTCATTAGTATGGTAATCATGCATCTTTAAATGAAATGGAAGGGAAATTCAGTGAGGAGATTCCTAAAAGTACTGATTAAAGTAATCATCCTCAGCTAGCCTACATAGGTTACCTACCGAAGTAAGGAGAAAATAAAGATTTCTATCACTTGAGGAGTGAGGAAGAAAATCTAGAATTTTTGCCTAGAAGTCAGTCAAATGTTGTGGAAATAAATTATAGCTGTAACTAACATGATATTATAGCCCATGTTAGAATCTTGTTCAGTGATGTTTACTCTCTGTTTTTAATTTTTTTTAATGTTGATCCATTTTTGAGAGGAGAGAGACAGAGTGAGAGTGGGGGAGGTGCAGAGAGAGAGGCAGACACAGAACTCAAAGCGGGCTCCAGGCTCTGAGCTGTCAGCACAGAGCCCAACACAGGGCTTGAACTCACCCACTCATGGACTGTGAGATCATGACCGGAGCCAAAGTCGGCTGCCCAACTGACTGAGCCACCCAGGCTCGATGTTTTCTCTTAATTTCAAACGTGCCAACGTAGAGAAATAAAATTTGATCAATATCATCTATTTACTTGAATTAAGAGACACGTTTTATAGAAATGCAGGAATCCTGTTAACATCTCTGATTTCCTTCTATTATCAATGCTTGGAGTTAAACCGGTCACAAATTCAGTGCACTTCGAGCAGATATTTCAAACTACAACTAGACAGTAGATATTCCAGACCTAGAATGAAGAAGGCAGAGCTGGGAAAAAGTTTTCAAAGATCTGTCATTTGTTTCTACTATAAGTATAAAATCAGCTACTTTGCATTATTCCTCTAGAAGTCAAGTAAGAGAAAGAGTGCTTTTGATTGATGTTAGCTATTAATTGGGCTTAAAAAAAAAAGGGCATTCTCTGCCACAATTTCATACCATGATTACTGACAATTTGCTGTCAAATTTATCCTATGAAAGGAGCAGTGTGCAGTAGGAAGGGGGTATAGTCATTCCCTCTTGAATTCAAATCTCAGCACTGCTTTAATCTTACGGAATTACTCACATTAGCTCTTTGGTCCTGCAAGTTACTCAATTCCTCCAATCCTTAAAGTGAAGACTATGGTATTTAGGATGGGTTTCTTCTAGGATTTTATGAAATTAAATGCAATGCTGTATTTAAAAATGAATAACCAAAACATCAATGTTCTTTCTCCTATACTCCCTTTACTATCTTTAGGACAACTTTAGCTAGAAAATAAATACATATAATCATATATCTTTCAGTTTATCAGGATTAGCCGGTAGTTGCATAAGATATATTCCTGTTTTCTTAAAACTAACTTCGACTCTTTCCGTAATGGGAAAAATAACTGTAGCATAAAAATATTGTAATCTGACAGTTCCATCTGGGGCTGGACATGATGGCGGAAGAAATTTAGAGAAAATTATCACCTTCATTTTACAATATTGACAACTACCTACCACTTCAGGGAAGTTTCCTTCATATTAATTGAGAGCAAGGAAAGTGGTTGTCACTTGAGCATTAGAGTCATTATCCCCAATCCTGATGATTCATCTTATTTTGGCCTTAAAGATTTTAGTCGACTCCAATAAGCAACAACCAATACTCAGCCTACCTGATGGAACTTGTATTGCAGGGATCAAATGGAATTTATAGGTGTTAAGCAATAAAAACCAAGCTGGTTTTTCAATTCTGACGACAGATTTAATACTTCCTTTTCTCTTGTCCGAAATGCTACTAAATTACAGTAAATGGGTTTTTTAAAGACATAAACCAAGAAAAAAAGAGGAGACACAGTGAGAAGACAGTAACAGATAAAGCAGATGGAAAACTGGTAAATGACCCACAGCCCCTATAGAGTCCAGTCCTAAACCATGGATGGGAATGATGAGAACCAACATGATTTTTACAGTAAAACCCCTAGGAATCTTGCAAACTGTCAGCATCACATGTCTCAAGAACTGAGGGTCGAGGGGCGGCTAAAATAGATCACTAGATTCCACCAGCCACTCTTAGCAGGTACAATTACTTTATAGACAATGGGGACTTACTATCTGCAGAATACAGATCCCCAGATTTCTTCCCTCACTAGGCTCTCCAAAGCTAGTAGCCAGAACCCTGCCTTTTTGGAAAGAGATCTGAAGCCTCTTCTTGGGGAATCCTCAAAGAGTTAAAATAAAATATTCCATCTATGAAATATAAACAGATCGTATTAAAAGAAGATAAAGAATAGGAGGGGGGCGCCTGAGAGGCTCAGTCGGTTAAGCGTCCGACTTCCACTCAGGTCATGATCTCGCTTTGTGAGTTTGAGCCCCGCGTCAGGCTCTGTGCTGACAGCTCGGAGCCTCGAGCTGCTTCGGATTCTGTGTCTTCCTCTCTCCCTGTGCCTCTCCCCCACTCATGCTTTGTCTCTCCCTCAAAAATAAACATTTTTAAAAAACTATTTAAAAATAAAATAAGTAATAGGAGGAAGAAAAAGGAGAAGGAACACCATTCAGAAAACAAAACAAAAAAATTCTTGAAAATAAAAAATTGATAGAATAAATACAGTTCAATAGAAATAATAGAAGACAAAGTTGAGGAAATTGCCATAAAAGTAGAGCAAAAATACAAGGAGGCATAAAATACAAGAAAAATGCTAAGAAAAATAAGACTCAGCCAAGTGGCTGAACATTCAAATAATAGGAATTTCAAAACCCAGAGAAAAGAGAAAGGAATAATTACCAGAAATAAACCAAATAAAAAATTTTTCTTAGACTGAAGAACATTAGCTTCAAACTAAAGTGGCCCGACAGGTGCCCAGCACGATGATAACAAAACAAGAGAAAGACATTGTATTTTAAAATTTAACAATATTGGGGACAAAGAAGTATCTATGACTTTCCAGAGAGGAATAACTAGATTCCAGAGAGGAATAACTGATATAAAGGATCAGGGATTAGATGGTCTTAAACTATACAGGCCACTGCATGGTCGGGCAGGCAATGAAACAATGCCTTCAGCGTTCTAGACTTTTACACATGATCCATGCTATCAAACAACCGCGAGGATGAATGAAAGACACATTCTCTTTCAAGGAGCTATTGCAATACTTCCTCTAACAAAAGGCTGAGTTTGCAAAAGGTTGAGGAATGCATGTAACGTAACACATGGGGAACACAACACAGAAGAGGAACCAAAGTAAACCTCCTAGGTGGGGCTAGACAAGCCCAGGGTGA